TAAATCAAATACAATATATCTGTTTCTCTCAGTTATCTGCAACTCAGAAAGGTCTGTCCTACTCTTAACATACTAAAGAGAAATCAATGATAATTTCAACAAATGCCAAAAAGCAATAAAATTCAACACCCAGTAAAAATATAAACCAAGAATAGAAGGAAACCTCCTTAAATTGACAAAAGACACCTACCAGAAACCTTTAGTAAGTATCATATCTAACAGTGAAACACTGGAAGCATTCCCATTCAGGAAAAAGATTAAAATGCCCATTATCATCACTGCTATTCAACTTTTGCACTGGAGGGTCTAGGCATTGCAATAACACAGAAAACAAGATAAGTGGTATCAAGTTTAGAAAGAAGCCTGGTCAATTAAGTCTTCTAGTCAAAGCAGCCCAGTAAGTAAACACTTCAATGCATCCCCTCTGCTCCAAATACACAGTAATAGATATGTTTAAATATATTTTTTAAGTTACTAAAAAGGCTCAAAAACAAGACAACCCTCCACGTGGATCAGAAACAGAACAGATACACAAAACTGTGAGCAGGACTGAAGCTACAGGCTTGCTGGACTCTGAGTCTAGAAGCAGGTGTATACTTCCTTCAGGGCAACAGTGACACAGAGTGAAAGAGGTGGAGAAACAGGAGACATCTGAGCCAGATTCACTGCTTAAAGCCAAGGATGAGGCTAGAGCTGAAGGGAAGTGAAAAAGTACTGCTGCCAGTCTCTGCCTAGAACTATGGTTTATGTGGTGCTCTGGGCTCTGAAAAGTGAGAAGATAAAAACACAGCCTCATGACCAGGAAATGAACCAAGACATTCACACACTCTGTGAGCAGATCTAAAATAGCCCCAATTACCTCAAAGAGCAGGACCCTGACCATTATCATATCTGATTTCTTGACTAGAGTCCAATCATTGGAAGCACCTGAAATATCACCACACAGAGAAGGGTGAGCACAGAAATAAGAGAAACAAAAGCAAAAGTACTCACCCTCAAATAAGTCTGTAAATCAAAACTTCAAAACATATAAAGAGGGCTTCCCTGGTGGCGCAGTGGTTGAGAGTCCGCCTGCCGATGTAGGGGTCATGGGTTCGTGCCCCGGTCTGGGAAGATCCCACATGCCGCGGAGCGGCTGGGCCCGTGAGCCATGGCCGCTGAGCCTGTGCGTCCGGAGCCTGTGCTCCACAACGGGAGAGGCCACAACAGTGAGAGGCCCGCGTACCAAAAAAAAATCAGTTGTATTTCTAAGTATTAGAAACAAGCAAATGGAAAAAGAATACTTAAAAGGGCTTCCCCGGTGGTGCAGTGGTTGAGAATCCACCTGCCAATGCAGGGGATGCGGGTTTGTGCCCCGGTCTGGGAAGATCCCACATGCCGCGGAGCGGCTGGGCCCGTGAGCCATGGCCGCTGAGCCTGTGCGTCCGGAGCCTGTGCTCCGCAACGGGAGAGGCCACAACAGTGAGAGGCCCGCGTACCACAAAAAAAAAAAAAAAAAAAACATATAAAGAAGTATAATGCTAAGAAAGACAGCCAACGAAAGCAACAATTAGAATATAAATTCATACCAGATGCGGTTTAATTTTACAGAACAGTCTGACAAAGATTTTTTTTTAAGTACATTTAGGGTGCTAGGATATACAATTTTAAAATTGTTGGGAATGCAAAATTGGACAGGCAGTTTCTTACAAAGCTAAAGATACCTTTACCATACGATCCAGCAATCACGCTCCTAGGTATTTACCCAAGAAAGCTGAAAACTTATGTCCACACAAAAACCTGCACATGAATATTTATAGAAGCTTACTCATAACTGCCAAAAACTAGAAGTAACCAAGATGTCCTTCAATAGATGAATGGATAAACAAACTGTGGTACTTTCATACGATGAAATATTATTCAGCAATAAAAAGAAATGAGCTATCAAGCCAAGAAAAGACAGAGGAAATGTAAAGGCATAATGCTAAGTGAAAGAGACCAGTCTGAAAGCCTAGAATACTGCATGATCCAAGCCATATGACACTCTGGAAAAGGCAAAACTATAGACACAAGTCTTCCCTGGTGGCACAGTGGTTAATAACCCGCCTGCCAATGCAGGGGACACGGGTTTAAGCCCTGGTCCGGGAAGATCCCACATGCCGCGGAGCAACTAAGCCCATGCGCCACAACTACTGAGCCAGCGCTCTAGAGCCCGCGAGCCACAACTAGTGAGCCCACGTGCCACAACTACTGAAGTCCACGCGCCTAGAGCCCATGCTCTGCAACAAGAGAAGCCACCGCAATGAGAAGCCCGCGCACCACAACCAAGTGTAGCCCCCGCTTGCCGCAACTAGAGAAAAGCCCGCGCACAGCAACAAAGACCCAATGCAGCCAAAAATAAAATAAATAAATTTATTTTAAAAAAACCAAAAACTATAGACACAGTAAAATGATCAGTTGTTATCAGGAGCTCAGCAGGAGGGAGGGGGGAATGAATGGGTGGAATACAGGGGATTTTAGAGCAATGAAATTATTCTGCATGATACTGCAATGACATTACATGAAATGTCATGTGATAACATTTTGCATTTGTCAAAACCCATAGAACTGTACAACACAAAGAGCAGAAGCCTAATATAAACCATGAACTTAAGTTAATAATAATGTATCAATATTTATTCATCAGTTGTAACAAATGTACCACACTAATGCAAGATGTTAATAATGGGAAAGTGCCCCTGAAGAAGAGGGGGTTTATAGGAACTCTCTGTACTATCCACCCATTTTGGTCATATTCAGTTATGTACATAATTTTTTTAATATCATGGACAGTTCCACTTCTGGGTGTATACACAAAAGAATTGAAAGCAGGGATTTGAACAGATATTTGCACACCCATGTTCATAGCGGCATTATTCACAATAGCCAAAAGACAGAAGCAACCCAAGTGTCCATTGATGGATGAATGAATAAGCAAACATAATGTATGCATACAACAGAATAGTATTCAGCCTTAAAAAATAAGGAAATCCTGGGAATTCTCTGGAGGTCCAGTGGTTAGGACCTGGCGTTTTCAATGCCGAGCGCCTGGGTTCAATCCCTAGTCAGGGAACTAAGATTCCACAAGCCTCGAGGCGGGGTCAAAAAAAAAAAAAAAAAAAAGGAAATCCTGACACATGTTACAATATAGATGAACTCTGAAGACATTATGCTAAATGAAATAAGCCAGACACAAAAGGACAAATACTGTATGATTCCACTTATAGAAGGTGCCAAGAGTAGTCAACTTCACAGAGACAGAAAGCAGAATGGTGGTTGCCAGGGGCTGGAGGGAGAAAAGAATGCGGAATCAGTGTTTAATGGATACAGAGTTTCAGTTGAGAAAGATAAAATGTTCTGGAAATGGATAGTGATGTTTATACAACAATGTAAATGTACTTAATGTCACAGAACTGTACAATTAAAAATGGTTAAAATAGTAAATTTTATGTTGTGTATATTTTGCCACAATAAAAAAAAATGAGGAAAAGTGCTGAAAAACTGGTTTTCCAAATTGAAAAAAATATATATCACTTCATTACACCATATAGAAATTCCACACAGAAAGCAAAACTTCTTTTTTAATTTTAGAAGAAAATACAGATATATAGAATTCATACCCTGGGGTAGAGAAAATTTACTTAAACCAGACACAGAAACAAATTTTGTTAATTTAGTGTAAAATTTTCCATAAATATAACATTAAAATGTAAAACTTGTATACAACTAAAGACATTGTTAACAAAAGGAAAAGGCAAGCCTCAGACTGGCAGGATGCTTTGGCAACACATAAATCCAGCAATGAATTAGTGTCCAAAGTAACCTAACCGTCCCACAGTTAGTGGAGGATACATAAACAGTGATTTAAGTCTACAACTGAACACTACTCAGCTTTTAAAAATAAATGAACCAGATCCACAAGTGGCAACATGGTTAAACCTCCATCAATTAATTTAAAGCATGCACCCCTTTGACCCAGCAATTCTACTTTTCATTCACTGCAGCAATGGTGAAATGGCAAACAGCTTTAACGGCCATTAATGAGGAGAGGATTAAATAAACTACAGTACAATATATACTATGTATGGTATTGTGTAGTAGTCAAGAAGAACCAGGTAGATCTTTATGTTCCATCATGGAAAGATCTCAGACATTCTGTTAGGAAGAAGTTGCAGACCAATGTCTACAGTATCATGTCATTAATGTGGGCATCGGAGGAAACCCTACTTCTTCCCGTATCATCTATATATAGATGAAAATGCATAGAGAAAGGTCTGGAAGGATCACAACAAACTGATAACTGCCGTTTTGGTGGAGAAGGGAGTGGGTCAAGGAGCCTTGTATTCTGTCTGTAATGTTCGAGCATTTAATAAGACAGTGTGCATTCATGAGCCATTTGCAGAGCTGCAGTACACAGCCCCAGACTGCACAATACAACTCCAGGAGCTGCCATTCACAGGCACTCCGATGTGAATGGCATCCCCTAAAATTGGGCAGTATACTTCCTGCACTAGATGCCACAGCCCTCATACTTGTGTAACTAGAAATAAATAAAATGAGAGGTGATGAGAGTATTTACTGCAAACCAGCATGAGGGAGTTTCTACGGTGATGTAAATTTCTATATCTTGATTGAGATAGTGGTTACAAAGTACAGACAGTCCCCAACTTACAATGGTTTGACTTTAGATGGTGCGAAAGCAATACACATTCAGTAGAAACTGTACTTCAAATCTGAATTTTGATCCTTTCCCTGGCTAGCAATATGCAGTATGATACTCTCCCATGATGCTGGGCAGCGGCAATGAGCCACAGCTCCTGGTCAGCCACAAGAGTAAACAACCCAGATACTTACAACCATTCTGTTTTTCACTTTCAGTACGGTATTCAATAAATTACATGAGACATTCAACAGTTTATTATGAAATAGGCATTGTGTTAGATGGTTTTGCCCAACTGTAGGCTAATGTAAGTGTTCTGAGCATGTTTAAGGTAGGCTAGCCTAAGCTATGATGTTCGGTAGATTGGGTGTATTAAATGCATTTTCAACTTACCATACTTTCAGACATAACCCCACTAGACCAGCTCTGCACAGGACATCTGTGCAGACATCAGTAAAGCTGATTTTGAAATAAATGTAAATTAAATATATAAATAAATAAAATACAATATCACTGAGAAAACCTAGAACAAGGCATCCAAAATTACAGGACCTAGGCATCCCAAAATAAGAACTAGTAGACACCTGCTGGTTGCACTCTTAAGTACACAGTCATAAAACTAAAGAGAAATTAACTTAGTTCTTCAAGGCTTACTACACAATGCCAAATTTGAATTAATATTTTATTTTTATATAAGGAAACCTAGGTCCTGAGAGATTTATACTAAAGATATAAAACAAGTGGTAACTTGGCATTCTATTGGTTTTAAATCTGATTTCCTAACTAAGTAGAAATTTTGTCTCTCACACATAGTGGACACTCAAAAGCCTTGCCAACACTACCTTGACTACACAACCCCCTTCAAAAGTAATTCCACTTATGTACGATAAAAATTCTCAAAGAACTCATAAAAGGTCAAGTTTTAATTTGGCAGGCAAAGTAACCCAACAGGCACTGCAACCCAGGCAACTGAAACAGCAGCCTGGAGCTCGAGAGTCCAGAAATCCAACCAAGGCAGAAAAAAGGCAGAATCCCAGCCCTTACAGAAGAGCAGAGATACATCCTCTTATGACAGATCTAAGATAAAAGAACCAAGATAAAAATGAAAAAGTGTTTTCTAGACAAAAGTACTCTCCTTCCTCAAGTGATAGAAAAGGGCCAGAACGGGATGATTTGAAGCAAGGGCCCAAGGAGTAAGCTCCTGGCAGCCAACATGCAATAAAGATGTGAAAGTGGCAGCAAGACCACAAGATATGACAACTCCATCACTTTAGCCTTCACTTTAAATGCCCAGACCTAAGAACCTGGGTTACCTCACACGGCAAAAAAAAAAAAAAAGAGAGAGAGAACCGGAGGAACAAGGGAAGTCCATTCAGCCATCCCTAACACCAGATTTATCAATAGTGCTCTGTGTAAAACAGAGCAAAACCTTGCTTGGTTCATGCATTCAGGCAATACGTAGGTATTTAGTGCCTGCTGTGGGTCAGGCACTGTTCTTGTCACTGAGGATTTAGCAGTTAATAGTCATGGAGCTTCATTCTACTCGGGAAGAAAGGTAACTTCTTTTCTCTTTCCAATTTCCGTTTCCCTTCTCTCTCTTTAAATGTTACGCAGAAGTTCCTTCAAAACTCTCCCAAGTACCTCCCACAAGCTTCTTTGACCCTCCTGCTTTAATCCTCAAAGCAAGCAATTTTATGGCTCCAATTTCCCAATACTGGGGACAAGAGACCTAAAGTGGATAAGACAAAATTCAATGTTGCTTTGTACTTCATACGCATACCTTTACAACCGAATTGCCAGCACTTAAAGAGCAAATGATGGTTGTGTTTTACACAATTTTGTGGCCCCAGTGCTGACCACGGCTCTCTACCCAAGGTACCTAACCAATAAACGTTTGCTGAGGCTGCTGGAAGGTCTCCCTAATCCCAAGGCCTGGCACAGGAATTTAACAGCAAGCATTCGTTAGCTGCATCCTTCCTCCTCTCAGGACACTTTCCTTTAACGGGTGACCTCGGTGCACAGGTTCACTGATAGGTGCCTCGGGAAACAGTGTTTGGAGGTGATGTGAAATAAATTCCTTTCCCTCTGCCAGGGCCTGCCTGCCTCACCTGCCCTCTGCCAGGACCTGCCTCCTTCGCCCCCTTAAACACCTAAGGCAGAGCCTCCTCCCTGCGAGCCGGGCACGGGCAGCATCAGCCCTACGCCCGCACCCCGGCTCGGCGCCCTACGGCCAAAGCGCGCTCGGGACCCCGGAGCCTCCTCCGCGGCCCGGGGCTCAGAGCCCGGCGGCGGCGGCCCGGAGCTCCGCTCCATCCCCCGCGCTCGCCCCTCCAGGTCCGGGCGCGCGGCGCCGTCTCCCCTCACAGCGCGCGCTGTGCAGCGGCCCCGGCTCCCCGCGCGCCGTCTCCGCCGCTCCCGGCCCTGCACCCTCGCAGGCTCCCGAGGTAAGGGCGCTGCGCGGGCTCCTTCCCGCTTCTCGCGGGCGCGAGGCTCTGGCACCGCACTCCTCTCCCGCAGCCTGCGGCGGCCGCCACAAACCCCCGCAGTACTCACTTCCCGGCCGGAGCTGGGGGCGTCGAAAAGGTCTCCGGCGGCCGCAGCCTCCTCTGCCTCCTCCGGCCCGGCCTCCGAGGCTGAGGCGGTGGCGGCGCCCGCTCAGGCCCCGGAGCCGCCCCCGCGACGAACGTTCTCAGGAACCCGGCTCGCGCCGCTTCCCCGCCCGGCACGCGCAGCAAGCCCGCCCCCGGTGCGAGGGCGCGAGGGCGCGGGGGCGCGAGGGCGCAGGGCGGGGGCCGGGCACGCGCCGCCTGCGCGAGCGCGCGGCTGGGGGCGGAGCTTCCGCCGCGCCGAGGAGGGGGCGGGCCAGCGGGCAGAGTTCCCCTCGAGGCCCGCCCCCTGCGGCCGGGTTCCGGGCGGGCGGAGTAAACTTGCCCCCTGCGGGCTTTTCCCGTGAGCCAGCTGCGGGCGGCGGAGTTGCCTTCCAACTCCACAGGTATGTGCCCCGCCGGCTGGATGCTCGGCCCGACGTGACTACAAGGTAAAGAATGCAAAGAACCACCTCCATGAATCATTCATCCGCACCTCGAGCACGAGACCCTGCCCTGAGTGATTTTTCCGTGTTAATTCAGCTCAGCAACCGTTAACTGAGCACCGACTCCGTGCCTAGCGCTGTAGCACTGTACCAGGTGCTGTGTGGGTACACTGTCAAGGTCCCTGGTCTCCAAGAGCGCGTAACTTAGTGTAAAAGCGGCCGTGTAAACAAGCAGGTCTGGTGATCCGTGCAAAGCCAAGCCACGGTGAGATGCTGTGGGAGGGCAGAGGAGGAAGAGATTACTTCCGCTTGGAGAATGCAGAGGGATTCCTGGAAGAGGTGGCATTTGTGTTCAGCCTGCAAGGAAGAAAAAGAGAGAAATCCTAGGAGAAAAAAAGGGAGGGCGTCAAAAGCTAGGTAAACAGCTTGGGCAAAGGAACAGAGAGTGACCAAGGTTTACCATCTCAGCATCAGCTTGTTTGTTTCAATATCCGTTTTGCTAGAATCCTTTCCAAACTATGTGAAACAGGAGATATGCCAAATGAGGAACAGCAAAGCTTTTTTTTAACGGCTCAAAGGATCATTTTCTCAACTTTATTTAAGGCTCACGACAGCAGTGTCCTTTAAGGACTTTTGATACGTTAGTGAAGGATGTAAATCCCTAAGCTAAGAGAGCCCAGGCCCCTGTGCTTTGAGTCTGGTTTTTCACTGCTTTTTGGCACCTTATGGCAAGGCAGATCGTACCGCCTTCTGCTGCTGTCTGTCTGCCTGCCTGTCTTTAGGACATCCTCTTCCTCCTCCTCTTATCTTCCTATTTTTAAGCCCCTGTGGTGAAGGAAATGCTGGTAACCAACTTTGTTAAGTGAGAGTAAACAGGTTACTGCAAAACACTGGCATCACCTATCACTTATGAATTTTGCGACTATTTTGCATGCTTAGAAGACTTTTTCACTTGTATGCAGGGTCTTAACTATGTTTTGAATATGTTAAGATACTCAGAATACACGTAAAAGACACGTTGTTTATTCACTTACTACTCATTGAGCACCAACTGTGTGGGAGGCATTGAAAGGGTAAAACACTGATCCTGCCCTCTGGAGAAAAGAGGTGTAAATGATGTAAAACAATATGTAAATATGGTTCGTTCTGTTTGCTCTACTGACTGAAACCAAAGTAATTTCAATATGTGGACTAGCCATTGTGGGAATTAACCACTTTAAATATATTCATGTTAGCATCTCTCCATCTCGGTTCTGTTTTTCATCACCTCACACATCCTCAGAAAACTTCTTTCAAACATATTGCAGTCATCACTCTCACTCCCAAAGTTACCAACTTCTTTTACCTACTTGTCCTTTTCCTTCACCATCTATTCATGTTCAAGCTTTTCCTGTCCTAAAGAAAAAGGAGGAAAACTCTGTCATTCTAGATCATGCTCCAGTTACTATTCCCTCCCTGTCTTTTAAGACAAAAGTCTTAAAATAGTTTACACTCATCTCTGCCAACTCAGCCCCCTCTCACTCCCCGACCCATAGCTGTGTAGCTTCTGTCCCCCCACATCGCTGCACTGCTCTCAGTCAGTAAGCGCTGGCTTCATCCTAAATGCCCCAGGCCATTTCTGAGTCCTCTATTACTAGAGCTCTTGGTGGCATTTGACGACACAGAGCTCTCTACTCTTTTTGACACCCCCTTGGCCTTCACAATGGGACTCCTCTCCTAACCCCTCTGACCACTCCTCCGTCTACAAGGTTCTGTTCTCAGCTTTCATCGCACCCCGTACATTCTCCCTGAGCCGTTGCATCCACCCTGTCTTCATCTGCCACATATATCGGCAACTTCCAAGTGCATTATCTAGCTCAGACCACTCATCTGAGTTCCATGTACACACAAGCCTACTAGACTTCTCCACCTGGATGTCCTAGAGACCCCTCAAGTTCTACTTGTCTAAAACTGTTGGACCCTTGGTTGCCCAGGACCTGGGAGTCATCCTTCATTCTTTACCCATGCCCACCCCCGCCACACCCAACAATCCCATTGATTCTCCTCAAACATAAGTCTACACTCTATCCCTCTTAGCTCCTCTTACCTAGGCTAATGCAACACCCTTTTATCTTGTCTCCCTCCTGTAGTCTTGTTCCTTCTGATCCATATTCCACACAGCATGTCAGAATTGCTTTTTTTAAATTTGCCGCTTGTGGTGTCACTGCTGGCACACAAGACCTTCCATCTGTCTAGCCCTTGTCCACTCCATCTCTTGTCTCTTCCTACACATCCCCCATCCAAACTCCTGAAATGTTCCTACTTTCCCTTGCCTCCATACCTTTGTGCTTGTTTCTCTCTCTCTTTGGACTGTCATTTGAATACAAGCAAAGAAGGTCCAACATATATGTAGCCAAAGTTCCACTTATGATGAAACTATAATCTAAGAAACTTTCTTGAAATAAGAAAATATAAACCTACAAAATGAAAGGACTCACATGTACTTGGGGAAATGACCACAGAATGATCAATTTTGAGAGCTAGCCTCTTAAAACTATTAGACAGGGTCTTCCCTGCCAGTCCAGTGGTTAAGACTCCATGCTTCCAATGCAGGGGGCACGGGTTCAATCCCTGATCAGGGAACTAAGATCCCACATGCCATGTGCTATGGCCAAAATTTTTAAAAATAAAAAAATAGGACTTCCCTGGTGGCACAGTGGTTAAGAATCCGCCTGCCAATGCAGGGGACACGGGTTCGAGCCCTGGTCTGGGAAGATCCCACATGCCGCGGAGCAACTAAGCCTGTGCGCCACAACTACTGAGCCTGCGCTCAAGAGCCTGCGAGCCACAACTACTGAGCCCACGGCCACAACTACTGAAGCCCGCGCACCTAGAGCCCATGCTCCACAACAAGAGAAGCCACCGCAATGAGAAGCCCCTGCACCGCAACGAAGAGTAACCCCCCCAGCCCACTCGCCGCAACATGCAGCAACGAAGACCCAATGCAGCCATAAATAAATAAATAGTTTTAAAAAATAGATAAGCAACAAAGCATATCTATAAAAAAAAAGAAAAAAAGACACAATGAGATACTACTTCACCTCTACTAAGATGGCTGTAATCAAAATCAGACAATAACAAGTTTTGGTGAGGATGTGGAGAAACTGGAACCTTGATGCATTGCTGATAGGAATGTTAACGGTGCAATTGCCCTGGAAAACAGCTTGGCATTTCCTCAAAATGTTAAACATAAAGTTATCGTATGACCCAGCACTTCTACTTCTAGGTATATACCCAAGAGACTTGAATAGATATGCCCATACAAAAACCTATACACACATGTACATCAGGTCTTACTCCTCCTAACAGCCGAAAAGTGAAAGCAACCCCCAAATCCATCAACTGATATATGGATGAACAAAATATGGTAAATCCATTCATACAGTGGCATATTATTCAGCCAAAAAAAAGAATGGAGTACATGCTATAACATGGATGAACCTTGAAAACATTATGCCCAGTGAAAGAAGCCAGTCACAGAAGACCACATATTACACAATTCTATATATGTGAAATGTCCAGAATAGGCAAGACCATAGAGACAGACAGTAGATTAGTGGTTGCCAGAGGCTGGAGGGGTTGAGGGATTGGGAGAGGACTGATACTGTGTATAGGGTTACTTTTTTTTTAAGTGTATTGATTGATTGATTGTGGCCGCGATGCACAGCATGCGGTTCCCTGACCAGGGATCGAACCCGCATGCCCTGCATTGGAAGCATGGAGTCTTAACCACTGGATCGCCAGGGCAGTCCCTGGGGTTACCTTCTGAAGTGATGAAAATGTTCTAAAGTTGATTGTGGTGACAGTTACACAACTCCGTGAATATACTAAAACCCACTGAACTGTACACTTCAAATAGATGGATTGAAAGTGAATTCTGTCTCAATAAATCTGGTTCTTTGAAAAAAGAGAGCTATAAAAGAATCTTGAAAGACACAAAAGTATACTTGAACAAGACATCCCTTGGTTTTGGTTAAAATATCTCAACATAGTCAAGATGACAGTTCCCCTTATGTTAACTTATAAATTTAATATGCCCCTGCAAAAAATATAAACAAGTTTTTATGTAGCTAGACAAATTGATACCAGAGTTCATATGGAAAACTAAACACTCAAGAATAGCTAGTAACACACTGAAAATTAAGAGTTATGAGAGGTGACTAGTCCCAGCAAATACTAAAACATACTGCAGAGTGAAAACAGTGTGGTTCTGACACATGACGAGGCGGACCAGTGTAACCGAATGAAAGGTACAGAAATCAATCCAACTACGTATAAAAATCCAGTATATGATAAGCAGTCAAATGCCTGCGGCAAAGAAGGACTTTCTAAAAAATGGTGTTGGGACAACTGGACAGACCTACACAGCCTCACTCTGCTGGTGAGGTTACAGGGAGACAAATATTACTAGAGGGAAGGAAAAATAGTACAACCCCCATCAAGAGGTATTTGGCAATATCTACTGAAACATTTGTACATTTACCTTTCAACCTAGCATTCCCACTTCTGGGAATTTACTCTAAAGATGGTATCTCCAAAAATAATAGGCACCCTTACCTATGTAAGATTCTTCATTGTACCATTAATTGTATTTGCAGAACATTGGAAACTACCTAAATGCCCAAACACAGAAGACTGGTGGAGTACAATCAATAGGGAAGCACAATTGCACAGAATCAACTGGGAAGCAATGAAGGATATCTTTATGAACCGATATGAAGTAATTGCCAGGGTAAGTCATTAAGTTATAAAAGCAAAGTACAAAAGTGAATGTAGTGTATGTTACCTTTTGTGTAATAAAGACAAGAAATAAGAAAATGTAATGGATTTGCTTATTTGAGTAAAAACAATCACAAGAACAGTAAACCAGAAAACAATGATATTGCTTGCCTGTAAGGAACTGGGTAAGGGAAGGGCGTGGAAAGGATAGGGGAGGGAGGAACAATTCTGAGTATATCTTTTTGTGTAGTTTTGGCATTTGGAAGCATGCTAATGTTACATACATTCAAATAATAAAATTAAATCGACAAGCATAGGGAGGGACTTCCCTGGCGGTCCAGTGGTTAAGACTCCGTGCTTCCAATGCAGGGGGCGTGGATTCTATCCCTGATTGGGGAACTAAGATCCCACATACCATGCAGCAGCATAGGGAAAAATTAAAATCTGTAACTAAATGCAAATAGAAACAAATGAACCCAATTGTATGTCAAGTGGGTGACATACCACAAGAGAAGTGGGAGAAAGAAGTAAACCAAAGAATTTCAAACATAGTACTTAGATATAACTTTAGTCTAATGCAAACAATAAACTGGGGAAAAAGGAATCAATACCAGGAAAAGAAAAAAACACAAGGGACAGTAAATATATTTTAATATCAATTATTAATATTAATGATTAATAATGTTAATATTAATTGATAATATTGATTACCTTTATTGCTAATATTTACAAATTAAATTAGCAAAATATTTGAAATTTAATATCCAGTGTTAAAGACTTTTTTGAAGAAATGTAAATTTTACCTTTCTGGAAGGTGATTTGGAAATACATATCAAAATCTTTTAAGGGCTTCCCTGGCGGCGCAGTGGTTGAGAGTCCGCCTGCTGATGCAGGGGACACGGGTTCGTGCCCCGGTCAGGGAGGATCCCACGTGGTCTGGGAGGATCCCACGTGCCGCGGAGCGGCCGGCCCCGTGAGCCATGGCCGCTGAGCCTGTGCGTCTGGAGCCTGTGCTCTGCAACGGGAGAGGCCACAGCAGTGAGTCCCGCGTACCAAAAAAAAAAAAAAAACTTTTAAAATATTGACATCCTTTGACCCAGAAATCCAAATTCTTGCAACTTATGTTATGAAAACATTCAGTGATGTGTAATTACATTTATGCATTAGGATATCTTACCAGAGTTAATTCTAAAAACAAAAATTGGGGGAAAAAAAGATACAGGGCTTTGATTAATTAAATTATGAGATGTCCATGAGAAAGAAGATGCCACAGCCATAAAATCACAATGTAAAAGAATGTTTCATGTCTTGGAAAAGTGTAAAATGGTATGTGTAGTATGATTCCAATTTTGCTTAAAATTATGTGTGAGAGACAAACAACCCAGTAGACAAAAGGACAAAAGTATATAAGCAGACATTTTATAGAAAAGCAAACACATATGGCAAGTTAACATATGAAAAGATCTTCAATTTCATTAGTATTCAGGAAAATGCAAATTAATACTCAGTGTTACACACCTATGAGAAAGACAAAAGTTTTAATGTCTGACAATTTCAAATGTCAGTCAGGAGGTTGGTCAGTTGGGAACTCTTATGCACCAATGCTGGGAATGTAAATTGGTGCAACCATTTTGGCAATGCCTTATAAAGGTGAAATTTTGCATACTTTATATCAAACAATTTCACCCCAAAGGCACTCTCAACATGTGCACCAAAAGACATGTACAAGCACTGCTTGTAAGGGCAAGGTACTAATAACAAACCAAATGTCCAGTAAGAGAAGAATGAATAAATAAATCGTGTATATCTTCACAATGGAAATATTAAACAGCAAAAATGAAAGAACTATACATAAATAACATGGTAAAGTGAACCAATGTATTTTTTGAGTGAAAAAAATTAGCAAGAGAGGGCTTCCCTGGTGGCACAGTGGTTGAGAGTCTGCCTGCCGATACAGGGGACACGGGTTCGCACCCCGGTCCGGGAAGATCCCACATGCCGCGGAGCGGCTGGGCCCCTGAGCCATGGCCGCTGAGCCTGCGCGTCCGGAGCCTGTGCTCTGCAACGGGAGAGGCCACAACAGTGAGAGGCCCGCGTACGGCAAAAAAAAAAAAAAAGAGAAAAAGCAAGAGACATTATAATATGATACCATATTTTAACAGAACATTGGAAATCAACTATACTTCAATAACATAAATTTTTTAAAAATATGATACCATTTTTATAAATCTTAAAATCAAGTAAGGCCAAACAATTTGTAAAATTACTTTTATAAAGCAAGGGAATAATAAACGCAAACTTTGAGAAAATAGTTATCCTGGGGGAGGAAATGGTAGGCTGAGAGAGCACTTAGGTAATTGACATTATTGCCAATTATTTGTGATTTTTTTTTCTTGGTGTGTGTGTGTGCATAATGTTACATATATTTTTGCGTGTCTCAAATACCATATTTTAAAAAGATAAAGGGAAAGAGTTTGTGTCTCTGTGTGTGTTGTACTCCCTAAATAAAAGAATGAAGACTATAAACCAAAATATTAGCAGAGATGATCTCTGGGTGGTAGGATTAGGAGTGATTTTCATTTTCTTTGTTTATATTTTCAAAATGTCTTAAATGAATGTGTACTTTCTTGAAAACAGGAAAAAATATTTTTAAAAATCAATGCTAGAACCTGTCCCATTTTCATTCTGTAGTCTGAACATCCAAGTCTTAATTTCCATGATGATAGATGATTCGGGGAAGAGGCACGCAGTGGAATCTCCAAGGTCGTTTGTAACACCAAGTTTAGCCAGGTAGTGAGCTGACAGTAGCAGGAATCAATCTGCAGAAGGATGTACAGAACTGTGTAGGAGGGCGACACCTGCCAGCTGAGTGTCAGCATAGGCAACAGGAAGGTAATATCAATTCAAAGAAAATAATTTCACGAACCTGAAACTATTCCTTGAAGTCATGAGTTTACTGTCTTGCCCCATCCCCCACCAAAACCCCCAATATCATGCAGATAAGAATACTAGAAACTGGGGATATATGTATACGTATAGCTGATGCACTTTGTGATACAGCAGAAACTAACACACCATTGTAAAGCAATTATACTCCAATAAAGATGTTAAAAAAAGAAAAGAATACTAGAAACAAAATATCACAATCCCATCCTTATGTCAAATTACAGTAAATTGACACCATAATGTGTGTCATTCTGTTCTGGCACTTACAGATTACATAACAGGACTGGAAAGGGTCCAATAGAGAGTAATTAAAATGACAAGCTGAAAGCGTGTCCTTTACATAATGGCAAGCAAAAACCAAACTCTGGCCTTCAGAGGAAGATAAGAGTTTAGGGCTTCCCTGGTGGCACAGTGGTTAAGAATCCGCCTGCCAATGCAGGGAACACGGGTTCGATCTCTGGTCCAGGAAGATCCTACATGCCGCGGAGCAACTAAGCCCGTGTGCCACAATGCAGGCTCTAGAGCCCGCAAGCCACAACTACTGAGCCTGTGTGTCACAACTACTGAAGCCCATGCGCCTAGAGCCCGTGCTCCACAACAAGAGAAGCCACTGCAATGAGAAGCCTGCGCACCACCACGAAGAGTAGCCCCTGCTCGCCACAACTAGAGAAAACCCGCGTGCAGCAACGAAGACCCAACACAGCCAAAAATAAATAAATAAATTTTTTTAAAAAAGTTCAGACGTGATGTGCCTAAGGTGTGCATAGCTGGAATACATATGCAGTCGCCAGATCTTAGAATACCAGCAGTAAAGGGTAGCTGGTAGTGACTGAAAGAGGCAGATTTGAAAGAAATATATAGGAACTGTTATTTTGCATGGTGAGTAGCAATGAAGAAATCCTTTCCCCCAGAGGCTGAATCACCGGTTCTCAGTCTTGTCCACTGTGGTATGAAGGTGACACAGAAGACAAATTGGGAGACTCTGGTTGGGGATGGGATGACCAGGAGGAGAGGCAGTGCTGGAACAGGGCTGTGCATACTCTCCATAGTATCCCAGGGATTCTGAGAGTCTGTGACAAATTGCATGGAAAACCTTTATGAAGGAAACTTTCTAAGATTTACATCACGGATGCAGTACCGTGTTTCAACAAAACTGTCCTTCTGGGTCATGATGAAGATTGGACTGGACTGGATATTCCACTGTGGTATTTTCTGTGTGCTTACGATCACAGGCCTCATCCATTCTGCCATATTGTGGAAGCTCAGGAGGCCAGAGGCTAAGTGACACCCCGCAAAAGATCCTCAAGAATTACCCCAAGAAGGCAACCCAGAGGACACAGTATCCCAAATCTCCTAGGCTTTGCTAGTTCACCAAAGGCTAATTATTTATGTGCTGTTTTCAGATACCCCAAAGATCAACAAATTCTGGGTTGACTAAACTTTCTAAATTGGCTCAAGTTTAGTCATATCAGCTCTTCTCAATCTAGCTACATCCCAATCACCTGGTATGCTTTTGCGACAATGCCTACATCTGGGACCCACCCTAGGTGAACTGAATTTTTTTTAAGTGTTCGCAAGTAATATAACATGTAGCCAAAGTGGAGAACAACTGAGCTTCTCTACATGTTAAAGTTAATTATTTGAGAGGTTCTGGCTGCAGGACGGGTGCAAAGGGCGTTGGCCAACAAGCCAGGGTGGAAGAAAAGAGGCGATTCTGCCAGCTCGCTTGTGCCCTCACGTGCTCGAATGCTGTCCAAGCTCTTGCTGCATGGGTGATGGGGTTGGGGGAGGCTGAGCTGCTTTACGTTCCAGAATGTTACCAGGCAGCCTCAGACATTGGAAATACAAGCTTCTAGGGTCCCTGCATTCATGTGAAGGAGGAAAGAGAAGAGAGCTATGTGTTCCCCTCTCTTTTCTAGGCCCCAGTTCTGTGCCCTCCCTAGAACCGGAGAGGAGAACGTGGGAACAGGAAGTTGCTTTCTTGTCACTAATGCTGAGCTGTTCCATCTTCTTGTGCTTCTCAACATTCACTAATGTCCTTGTCCTGGGGTTAACTCTTCTGCTCAG